AATATCTCATTTCACACGGAACCCTAACCCTAACCGCCACCGCCACTGCCCCGCTGGAGAAGAAGAACCAGTCACTGGAGGAGGAAGCCGACCGTCACCCGCTGCTACGCTGGAGCCACCTCCGACCGCCAAAAAAAGTAAAAAATTTCTCATTCACTCGAAATTTGATTTTGAACACCTCCATAGCCAAATCAGAGCAAAAGTACTGGCGGATGAGCCAAAAATCGTGGGTAAATCTCGTGGCGGTGCCTTTGCTAGAACACGGCTGTGCCGCCGTGCTGGAATTTTAAAATTGACCGAAAAAAGTTTTTAACACCAATTTGAGTTTTATAAGGTATTTCTAGGTACTTGAAGCGTATTTTAATCTCTGATAAAAAATTTAGAGAACTTGGGAATCGCTAGTAGACGCAGCTGAAAGTTTAGTATTTCGAATACCGATTCGGGTAAGAATCTCTCACCTTATTCACTATTATGAAATTGAAGTTTAATTATAAGTAATACAGCATTTTTCGTAATTTATAAAATCTCGATAATTAATTACAGGTTAGTAATGAAGTCAAAATCGGTTATTTATCACTTTTTATCCCGTTTTAACTGATTGATTGATTTTACAGTTTTAAATGTATGATAATATGCTGGAGTTGATAAGATAGTTCAGTTGTGTTTTCTTGATGCATATATTAGTTATTTTGCATGATTTATAATTAAATTGTGAAACTAGAAATTAAATGTAAACGGAGAATTGCTTAATCAAGCGAATGAATGAATTGTAAACTTACTAGATATCCTGGGAGATGGTGGACGGATCAGGTATATAGATAACTCTACCGTAAGCGTTGTCTCATACCGGACGGGGTATTGAGGGATTGTATTTTTGGCGCTCATATCGAACGTGTTATAGGGACAGCCGGTTAGTTGACAATGTTGAATAAGGGTTCGCGCATAATGGGGATATCCTTATAGACCTCCATGGATATCAATAGGTAAATCAAAAAGAAAATTTGTTGTTATGATTAATTAAATATAAGATTATGATGTTGTTTGTGTTATTACTTTTATAAGTCGGTTTTGAAAATCTTGTTATGATAAGTATGTAATAAATGATTT